AGGAGATGGTTGTGGATTTCAGACGGAGCAAATCCACCTACTCCCCCCTGAACATAGGAGGATCTGTGGTGGAAGTGGTCTCCAGTACAAGTACTTGGGTGTGCACCTGATGACAACCTCAGCTGGGGCAACAACACCACCAGCCTGATCAATAAAGCTCATCAGCAACTCTACTTCCTCAGGCGGCTGAGGTGGGATGAACTGGGAAGCTCAGTCCTCACCTCCTTCTACAGGTGTGCAGTGGAGAGCATCCTGTGCTCCAGCATCAATGTGTGGCATGGAGGCTGCACAGCTGCAGAAAGAAAAGCTTTGCAGAGAGTGGTGAAGGCTGCACAGAAGATGTTGGAGTCAGCCTCCTCACCATCACAGACATCTACACCTCCAGATGGAGAAAGAGGTCCACCTGTTCATGAAGGACCCCACTCACCCAGCACACACACTTTTTGCCCCACTCCCCTCCTTCTTGGGGCCTGACAAATTATACAATTTGCTTGAAGGTAATGGGGCACCTGAAAGGAGATCTATGGGGCAGTCAAAGGGTCTGTGTGGCAGTAGAGACAACACTTGTTGTTTACTAAACACCGGAGTTAAGGAATGTTGAGTGAGGGAACTTTAAAGAGGTTATTTTCTTCTTGGAGCTGTTTACCAAACGCACTGGGGGAGATGGCTCAGCATAAACAATTGTCAGAGCAGGAATCACCCCATTTAGCTAATCTATTCTCTGACCAGTTTATGAGTGGGTTATGTTTCTTTAGTTATGACTACCCAAGATCAGTTGTGGTTTAGGAGAGTGAAAGACAAAACCTCACCTTCCTCATGATGATTTCCAGAAACCACAAATTTAATCTTTATTGTCTTTTGGAAGATAGAGGAGATGGTTTATCCAGTGAAGGCAGCCACGGAAACAGCAGGGGTTAATTCAGTCGTGGGTATCTGCAACTTCACAATTAGGTTCCGGCTGATCAGGTTTAGTTCTGCCCCAGAATTGATTAAAGTCTGGATGGGAAAGATGGTGGTGTTAATACACAGGATTGAAGGTATAAAAAAATTTCCAGGAGATACAGAAGAAATATCCACCAGTATCTCCTGTTTAACTGGTGAGCTTTCCCTTTTAAATGTAGCCGACATGATGCAAGAACATGACCTCTCTTACCACAATAAAGGCACTCATTGTGGGTTATATGGCATTGACGTTCTTCAGGGGTGAGTTGGGTACTCCCTATCTGCATAGGTTCAGGATCAGACGAGCATGTTATCGATGGAGACCAGTTGCTTCTGGTGTCGGGGTAATCACGGGAAGTGCAATGAAATAATCCGTCCAGATGACCTGACTGAACAGTGGTGGATTTTATACCTGGATGATAGAGCATGAACTTTGGTGTCACGGGAAGTGTAGTTTTCTTCTATTCAATTCTAAATACTTTATTAATCCCAAAGAAAAATTAAATGTTGTAGCTCATCATCCTAGTTTCATTGAGGGTTGTTATATATGCTAACGGCTGCAGGCAGGAAGGATCTCCTGCTGCTGTCCATCCCACAGCTGTCCGTCCCACAGCAGATCTGAAGAAACTGGCTTCAGATGCCGATCTGTCCACCAGGACCCAGCGGACCTCTCAGTTCTCCTGGGCAGCAGGACCACATGAATGTTGGGCATAACTCCTCCCTGAGCAATGGTCGCTCCTCCCAGCAGCTTGTCGAGCTCCTCATCATTGCAGACAGCCAGCTGCAGCTGTCGGGGGATGATCCTGGTCTTCTTGTTGTCATGAGCCGCGTTTCCTGCCAGCTCCAGGATCTCGGCAGTCAGTCAGTTGAGCACCTCCGCCACATAGACGGAGATGCATCCACGGCGCCTCCTTTACAACTCATTTGGGATTTGGGGCTGTATTTGAGGTAATATTGAGTTTTGAGATGTTAATCAGCTGCTCCCGGTTGTGAAAACCACCTTGTTGCTATGGTGACACATAACACACATCATAACAAATGTCCAAAAGTAAAAGGTTTTCAGTAAAAATCCTTTCAGCTGCACAGCATCCGATACCAGAGAAAGTAAAAAAGCCATTTACATCCAGAAAAAAGGGAAAAGTTTTCAAAAACAATATTCCAGAATGAATGTAACAGCTACTCCAACATGCAGCCACCTTGAGTGGTGCAATTCAATTCCATGATGTGTTCACGAAAACGATTGTCAATTCTCGTGGCAAGGGTGATCAGGTGACTCATGTCTGCTGGTGCCTCTTAAGTGGCTAGTTGATCCTTTGTTTGTGTATTTAAAGTGTTGACAAATGCTCCTTTGAGAGCTTTCTCGCCTCTCCTCTGCCACAGTGCAGAACTGGATGGAAAATTTGGCAACTGACCTGTTTCCTTGCTGTAGGGAAAATATTTTATGAGCTGTTTCCTCCTGCTGAAGGGTTTGGTCAAAAACCTGCTGGAAATCCTTGAGGAAGGAAGAAAAATGATTGACTCAAGTGTGGGTCCATGGGAGTGCATCATCTTTTAGAGCACCAATTATAAAGGTAATACGGGAGGCATCTGCATCATGCTGCTGTATTCATTCATAACCATCTGCTCACCACAGACTCATGTTTGGGCTGCTGTTTGATACGCCATATTGTTTTACATTGTTAGCGTTTAGCGTATGTCTGGGATCTTTTAGCGTACCATTTGGCATTTGTTTAGCCTATATCTTAGTGTATATCTTAATTCAATGCAATTCAGATTATTTATATAGCGTCATATCACAACAAAGTTGTCTCAGGGCACTTTACAGGAACATTCACATACATAAAAAAGCCAGTTAGCCAATTAGTAAAGTTCTCTATCTAAGGAAGCCATATCTTTGATCCTTATATACTGTTTCTTTTATGCTTTATATTTTTGCGTGTAACTGGATCCCTGAGTACACAATTTCTTTCCACCTCATGTACCACATGATGCGAATGACAATAAAGAAACTTGAACTTGATCTGAGGAGTAGGTTAGCAGGGCACGATTAAAGGCAAGAGTACATTGTAACAAAAAGCTGCGGCATTTGCTAGCGTTACCTTTGAAACACTCAGAAGGTTGGACATCTGGTTCCTGAAGTGTAGTTGAGCTGGGTGAACTGATGTGGATGGTCCCTGTTGGCAAGGTATTTGCAGGGTCTTGGGTGTAGTTAGACAAGTTGACAGTTTCTGTTTGATAGAGGAGATCATGCTTCTGAGCTGCTGGAGGTTAGTTTGAGCTTTTTTGCTGTGGGATTTTTTTTTTGTTGTTGTTGCATTAGTTCACGGTGGTCAATATGCTTATTTTTATGCTTATTTGAATGGACTGCCTTCTAACATGATTTTAGTTAAATGAGGACCCCAAGTGGCAGACAGAGAGAAAGACTGAGACAGTGTTACAAAAATAACTGTCTTTATTTACAGGTGCAAGGGTTTGGGGCTTAAAAGGATGAAGGTACAAGGTGAGTTTCTGGAAATGTCTATGAATAACCCAACATTCTTCAGTCAGGTCATCTGGACAGTTTCTTTATTTGTGCTGAAACGTTTCACCTTCGGTCCAGAATGCTTCATCAGTCAAGGAAACACACAACAAAACTGATTCTTCCCCCAACAGTTTACTCCAAAGTGGAACAAACCAGTTTTGTTGGTGATAAGATGGTTTCTTTGTCACGCCCCCTCCTCCATTGCCGGCCCTCTTCCTTGTTGACAGTTGTGTCAGACTGGTTGAAAACAACAAAGTCCATGCTCAATAATCCAGGTATACAATCCAACATTTTTCAGTCAGTTGGATTGTATACCTGGATTATTGAGCATGGACTTTGTTGTCTATGAATAATCATTAATTTAGTTGTGGAGTTGGATTCACTTA